ATGTCATGACCTCTAACTTCTATCCCACTGGACCTTATCCTTCCATGTACCTAAAAGCACCTACTGTGTACTGGCGCTGGGCTAGGCCCTGGTGGTTGAGAGAACAGGCAGGTGGGTCCTCCCCTCAGGAGCTCACACCCTAGTGAGGAGAGCAAGCGGGCAGCAGACCACCCCACAGATTGCTCTACACGTGGGGTCCTCGCTGTGGAGGAAAGAACAGGGTGTGGGGAAAGAAGTTAGGGGCCGTGGTAGATAAGGGCCGGTTGGGAACCTTTGAGGAGGGGCAGCTAAGCTGAGGCCTTAGGGCTAGGTGAGGAGAAAGGGTAGAGCCTCCAGTGGGAAAAGGAGCCAAGAGGAGGTGCGGGGGTAGTGCAGGAACTGGGGGGCTTTGTCCTGAGGGCAGTGGGATGCCGGCTGGAGGATTTAAGACGGGAGAAAACATGACCTGCTCTGTGACTGGAGTAGAAGGGACAGAGGCGTGGACCCGCAGAGCATCTCTCCCTCACCCAGCTTTCCCCTTAAGGGACCGTCTTCTCCGCCCCCCTCTTGTGTCTGGATTTCTTAAGAGCCTCTCCCCTCCTCTTCCACTTCCATTTCACCATCCACTCAGTGCCAGCCCCCTCCCACCCCCCATTCCTAGTGAGTTGACAGGATCACCGCACCCTGGGTCCCATACACAAATAGTGCTTGACCCCTGTCTGGGGCCAGACCCAGAGCTGGGGTTAGAGGACGTGCAGCAGATGAGATAGACCCAGCCCCTGTACCCCTGCACTGCCAGCCTTTCTCCTCCCAGCTCCCTGCTCCCTCCTCCCCAATTAGAGATGCTGCCCAGAGTCCCCTCGAGCCCTGCCTCTTCCTGCCAGTCCCTGATGCTGGCCTGACCCAGCCATCTTCTCGTTTGCCTCAGACACAGCCCCAGCAAAGGAGGCAGCAAAGCCTAGCCCCACCATGGACGTCCAGTTCCCGATGCCAAACGTACGTAGGGTAGAGAGGGCTGGGCGGGGCCTCCCTTGCTGGGATTAGAGAGGGAGGCCTCAGGCTGTGTCCACTGAACTTCGGCCCCCTGCAGCTCGAGGTCCCACCCCGGCCCCCGGTCATCTCCTCCACACCTGCACCCAAGGCCGAGCCTGCCATCATCCCTGCCACCCGGAACGAGCCCATCGGGCTCAAGGCCTCCGACTTCCTGCCCGTGAGTGGGGGTCCAGCCTGAGGGCTGGGGTAGGAGTGGGCAGACCTTTGCTGCTTGCTCCGTGCCAGCTTCTGGGCTCCCGTTCCTTGCAGGCTGTGAAGATCCCCCAGCAGGCAGAGCTGGTCGACGAGGATGCCATGTCCCAGATCCGCAAAGGCCACGACACCATGTGTGTGGTGCTCACCAGCCGCCACAAGAACCTGGACACAGTGCGGGCCGTGTGGACCACGGGTGACATCAAGGCAAGTGCCACCCCCCACCACATGGGCCTCACTCCCGACCCGCCACCTGCCTGCCCTGGGCTTAGGGTTGAACCGGGTCAGGGGGCCTCTGTCATCACACTGTGATTGACTATTTCTTCCATCATGTTCGTCACCAGCTGCCGTTTATTGAGCGCCTAGTGTGTGCCTGGCCTTCCGCTCCTCATTTTAGGTGCCTTCTTGTTAACACCCTACAGCAGACCCCTTCGTCGCAGCACACGCACGCTCACACCTACGCGGGGGCCACAGTGTCCCCAGGCCCCTCTGATGGATGCCCTGTTTTCCACAGACGTCAGTGGACTCTGCAGTGGCCATCAATGACCTGTCGGTGGTGGTGGACCTCCTCAACATCGTCAACCAGAAAGCGTAAGCGGCCGCAGTGGGTGGCGTGGGCAGAGCAGGCAGGCCTGGGCTCTGACAGCACCATGTCCCTGCCCTCTCCCCAGCTCCCTGTGGAAGCTGGACCTGTGCACCACAGTCCTGCCGCAGATCGAGAAGCTTCTGCAGAGCAAGTATGAGAGGTACGTGGGTAGCCATGCCTACCCCACAGCAGGGCTGGGGGTGGGGCAGGACGGTGCCTCCAGGGACTACAGGAAAGGCCCTAAGGGCCTGGGTGCCCAGGCAAGGTGTCTGTGAAGCATTGCTGTCCCCTCCAGGTTCCTGGTCCTGTGTGTGTCTGTCTCTGCCCCCTCTGTCTTTGGATGCCTTGCTCCCTGCTTATCTTTCTGTGTGTGGCTTTGTGTTCCTCTGGGTCCATGTTCCTGGGACTCCTTCCACCTGCCTGCCCCTGAAGCTATGTCCAGACAGGCTGCACCTCCCTGAAGCTGATCCTGCAGCGGTTTCTGCCCCTAATCACTGACATCCTGGCGGCTCCGCCCTCTGTGGGTGTGGACATCAGTCGTGAGGAGAGGTGAAGGGCCAGGCGGGGTGTGTGTTGGGGCGGGGGTGCTGTGCCAAGTGAAGGGACACAGGCCTGGGGGCCTGGGCCCCACCTGGTGCTGGCCCTGCTAAAACATAGAGGACATATGATCTGGGGCAGTGGGGTGGTGTAGGGCAGCGGGGTACCGACCTGGCCCTGGCCCTGAGCCCTGGCATGACCTGGATAGGTCCTGCACTCTGGACCTCAGCCTTGCTCTGGGAAGGGGGGCTAGAGTGGTTGGGACAGGAAAGGCCAGGTGGGGCCCCCAATGGCCACGCGGCCAGCCTCCTCAGGCGCTGTTCCTCTGCACAGGCTACACAAGTGCCGGCTCTGCTACAAGCAGCTCAGGAGCATCAGTGGCCTTGTCAAGAGCAAGTCCAGCCTGAGTGGCCGCCACGGCAGCGCCTTCCGAGAACTGCGCCTGCTCATGGCCAGTTTGGACTGAGGGGCCCGGTGGGTGGGGGCGTCCAGTAGCCCGCGGAGCCCGGCCTCTGCTCCCACGCCTGTCCTTGTGTGCCCACTGGCCTATGAGCCTCTGCCTGGCCCCCACTGCTGCCCTGCGGCTGCCCCAAAGGAGGTGGCACTGGACCACTGGCCACCTCCACAGCCCCGGACTCTGAGACAACTCTTTCCAGTAACAGCTTTGCCCAACTCTTGCTTCTTGGGGCCGCGAGCCGAGCCCTGGGGCTGTTGCTGTAATTTATAAGGTGAATTTTATTAAATTTGTAACTATTCCCCGGTTTCCTTGCGGGGAGCAGCATCGTCTGGCCACTGCAGCTCTCCCAAGCCAGCATCCTGCCCTGGTCTCTTCAGGCCAACCACTCCTGGCTTCAAGCTCCAGAGACAGCGCCAGGCTGCACGGCCAGCAGAGGGGAGCAGAGCGACGAACTGGCCTGGAAAGGGCCAAACTCAGACTCTTGTTCTCAGGGAGGAGGGGGAGGCAGCAACCCCACCCCCCAGGACTTGGAGAAACAGGGTGAGGGGCCCCAGCAGCCCATCCCCCATTCTGGCCCCACTCCCAGTTGTCCTAGGAACCCACCAAGGCTGGCAGGTGCCCGGGGCCAACAGCTGTACACTGCAGGGTGCCAGACCCCATCCTCTCAGGCATGGCCACCACCAGCTGGCCCAGAGCCCAGCACTCCCCCCACCCTCCCAAGCATGCCTCTAGGGACAGGACTGGAGGGCAGCTGCCGTCCTCTGAGGAGGGCTCTGAGTAAGAGCCCCAGTGCTGTCTGGCCAGAATGAGCTCCTCTGACCCAGCGGTCATCCCTGAGAGGGTTGGGTGCAGCCTCAAGATTTGGCCCCTTCCCCTCCAAGGCAGCAGCTGTCGGCTTCCATCCCAGTCAGGGAGGGAGAACCCCACAGAGCCCTGCACGGTTCCCACAAGGCTGTAAGCCAACACAACCACCATGGTGGGGTGGGGTGGGGCCCACGTGAGGCCAGTGCACTTAGGAGGAGCAAAGCCAGGCCACCGGAGTCTGGCAGCCGAGTTTGAACTCCAACCGTGAATCTGACAAGCCTCTGAACAGCCTAGTTTCCCACCTATGACATGGAGGTGTCATACAGTCTGTTATAGCCCCTGGCACACAGTAGGCGCCTAATAACAGCACACATGAACACAAGCAATAGAAAAAGGCAGCCAGACAAGCCAGCAGCGGGGTGTCACCAGGACCTGCTCCCTGGGGCCTGATGGTGAGGGGTGCATGAGACCGACTCTCAGACCACACGTGTAAAAAGACCTTTTATTTTAAGAAGTAAAAATGGCCACGTTTCCAAAAGTTCTTAAATAGGAATTCAGAGAGAAAAATGGCACGAGGCCAGTGAGCAAGGAGAGAACCCGGTGTCAGGCGGGGGCGGGGGGGTCACAAACCCCCACCCGCCGGCCTCCTCTGCCAGCCATAAATATGGCCCACCCGGAGCAGGGCGGGCCAGCTCTGATGTACACCTAGGAACACTATGTACACGCCCCACTGTGGGAGCCCCTCCTCGGAGGGATGGGGGCCAGGGCTGCCCCTTGGTACCCACTGACCCAGCCCAGTTCCTATGGCCCAGTTCTAGTGCTTTCCTGGAGGCATCTCAGCCCACCCACCAGAGGGGCCGTCCAGCTCTTGCAGCCTCAGAGAGGACCTGGGCAGCCCAGGGAGAGGCACGCCTCCCACACACCCCTGCCCTCCCCGCAAGGGCCCGACTCTGATGGCCGGGTCTGCCCTTCCAGCCCACGCCACTGGTGCCCAGAGCCACAGCCAAGAGACGTATTTCCTTTGGAACATGTTTCTCATCTCTGAGGGGAGAGGGGCCTCCACGCATCACTTCCGCCTCCTGGGGTCCTGGTGCTTCAGCAGGAGCGGCCAGCAAGGCCCTGGGACCCAGTCCTGGCCCCACAGGGTGGGCACGTCCATCACACAGGCACCGGCCTTGACTTTCCTGCAGGAGGGGCAGAGGGGAATGGTCAATTTCTCATCTACTTGCCCGCGGCCCACAGCAGGTGTGGCCGAGAGCAGGAGGGAGCCCAGCAGAAGCACACAGACAGCAGGCAGCAGAAGGACCCAGCTCTCAGCGGGCGAACTCCCCAGTGCAGGCCTGCAACCCAAGGCGGGCAGGGAAGCCCTGGGCCACAGCCCACACTCACCTGGACACTGCAGCCCCAGCCGTCAGGCTGAAATCAAAGCGACAGGCATCTCACTGTGGGCTGGCCTCAGCCAGGATCCCACAGGACCCTGCTGCCCTTACCCAAGTGGGGTCAAGCAGGGGCCTGGAGCCCTGGACTTGAGCCCTGTGGCCAAGCCTCACTCCTCATCTGAGAAATGGGCATGACCCCTGCTCTTTCCACCCACCAGGGAGCTGAGGGACAGGATAGGGCATGCCAGGCCAGCTTTGGAGGGAGTGAACTGCATGAACTCCCCAGTCTGGCCTCAGACTTCTCATCTGTAAAGTGGACACAGTACTGTCTGCCCTGACTACTTCCCAGGGGCTGGGGAGGCTGGGAAAGACTCTGGAGAAGTTTTATAAACTTAAAAAAAGAAAAGAAAAAGCCCGCCGTCCCATCGAGGAGGCTCCCCTGCAACGGTCCACTCCCAAAAGGCTCACCTGAGGGCTGCAGCTTCCTTCGGATGGAGCCAGGGCGGCTAGAGGTCCCGGAGCCGGGGGCTGAGTGAGCTCGTGCTGAGGTCTGTGGCGTCTGGCAAGCAGGTTCCCACTGTGGCAGGGAAGGGCAGGTGGGCTGGGAGCCCTGCTCCTCCCTTCTGTCCCCCTCTGCCGTACCCTACTTCCCCAGCCTCCTGAACCTCAAGTTCCTCATCTGCAAAATGCACATAAGTATACCTGCCTTACCAAATTCTTGCAAGAATTAAATGAGATAATGCATATACAGAAGTAAAGTAGTTACAGAGCACCGCCTGTGTGTGCCAGGCCGCGCTCCCCAAACTAGCTGATGACCCCTGCAAGGACCCTGGAGGCCAAGAAGAAACACTTGGACTAAACAGGCTACTGGGCTTGGGTTCAAATTCTACCTCCACTCCTTTGTGGCATCTTCCCCTTCACTCTCACTCCAGGCTCAGTTCCCCACCCCTTCCTGCTCATGACCGGGAAGCCTCTAACCCACTGTGGCCTGAGACAGGCCTGTGGCAATGGCTGTACCTCCAGATGCTCCTGGCTCGACCAGGACACGAGTTCTGCCCGGCGGGACACGGGGCCCAGCTCCACAGAGCGTACCCTCTCAGCAAACTTGAGGGAATAGAGCGTCTCGCTGGTGTTCTTCTCCACGGGGGACACCTGTTGGAGTTGGGGGGAACACACAAGAGCTCACTCCCCACCCAGTCTGGCCACTGTCCACACAGGACTCGAGAGGGTGGCGTGGTCACAGCTCACAGCTGGAGACTCTAGAAGGCATCCTGGAGAAGACTGAGCGGGAGAAGGAGTGGAGGGCAATGGAGGTGGCAGAAAGAGCAGGGTCAAAGGCCGAGCGGAGGGGACTTGTGCAATATGTGAAGTCTATGGGGTGCATGTGGCCAAGTGTGTTGCAGGGGGTTTAGGGGTGTCACTGGCTTTGGGGCCCCTTCCCTACACAACCTGGTGTACCCGTGCCCCAGAACCCTGAGGGCCACCCAGCCCAGCCCACCTGAGGCCCCTACCTGCACCACCATGAGGGTCTTGCTGTCGCCACTGAGTGAGTCCTGCAGCAGGTAGGTGAGCTTGGAGTTGCGGAAGGGCACGTGGCCCTGGCGAGAACGCAGGGCAGCAATGACATCTCCCAGGGCCGACAGCGACTTGTTGATGTGCTGTGCCTCCCGCAGGCGGCTGCCCTCTGCCCCTGACTTGCCCACGCGCTCCGAGCCAGCCAGGTCCACCAGGTTCAGCTTCCCTGTGGAAGGGCACTGGGCAGGTCAAGGCTGCCCTGGTCAGGGGGGTGCCGTGGGGGTCTCCAGGCCAGGCTGCCCCATGCCGGCCCTCACCCGTGGTGCGCAGGCCCGTGCTGCAGTCCATGCCGCGCACGGTCACGATGAGCAGGGCGTGGGAGCGCGAGCTGTGCTCGTTCAGGTTGGTGAACTCCGTTGTGCGGTTGGTGTGGCCAAACTCAAACACCTGGGGAGTGGCAGGGGCACAGGGCTTGGAGTGGGGTCTTTGGAATTACCCCATCCTGGGCACCTCTGTGAGGGGTAGCATTACCCTCCCCATTTTACAGATGAGGAAACAGACTCAGGCAGCAGGGGACATGCCCAGGTCACGCACAGTACCTGACTGACTCCAGAGCAGCTCTGCTGTGGGGGTGGGGGTGTTCCCCAGCATCCCCACCCCCCTCACCCCCCACAGCCCCTGCAGCCTCCCAGCCCCGCACCTTGTTGATGTCATCCAAGCTCTGCACCTGGAACTCGGTCAGCCCCGGCACATAGAGCTGCCCACTGCCGTTTGGGCACAACCGGATCTCCAGCTTCTCCTGTGGCTCCTTCCCCAGCAGGTCCCTGCAGGGGCAGGCCAGCAGTCACTCCCTCCTCCCAGTCCCTGGCCTCGTTCAGTCCCTCCTCCAGGCCTCTGCTTGCACTACCCACCCCCCTCCCCGCCCTGAGCCTGGAATGCTTCCCCAAACCATCATACCTCCTTAAAGAAGCCTTCCTTGACCACTGGGGTAAGCCCCTCTCTACCCCTCCAGCCCCTTCCCCTAGCTCAGTCGGCTGAAGAGGTGGAGCCCTGACTTCCCCAAAGGTCCTGTGGGTGGTGCCTTCTCTCACTCATCATCATCTGGGGGGGCAGGCACAAGGTTCAGACCCCAGGAAGACTGAGGACGCTTCCAGGGAAAAACGAGTGCCAGGTGTGGGTGGCCCCGGCAGGCTCAGAGAGCCCCTCCTCCCACCTGCCTGCTAGTTGGAGGGAGGGGGTCTAGGACCACCTGACCCACCTGGGTGAGTTAGGACATACAGCCAAGCCCCTTCCTGGGCCCTCAGCCTCATTTGGACCCCTGGACTGCCTTCAGGGAGACCCCACTTCCCATCCCACATCGTGCCACCCCCCCACCCCCAAGGACTGTAAAGCTGCCCCTGAGGGCATGTACACCGGGGGTGGGGAGGGGGGATCCTCCGGCCTCCCACCTGAGGACCTCGTTGTAAATCTCTGCCACGCTGACCGTGATGGTGTACTCCCAGTCAGATGCTTTCTCCTGCACCTCAGAGAAGAGTAGCTGCAGGGCCCGCTGGTTGATGCCTGGGTTCTCTGGGCTCCCCTGGAGGCGGAAGGAAAGGCCCAGTGAGCCCGGGGCCTCTCCCCAACGTGTGAGGTGGATGGTGCCAATGCTCACGTGGCCTCTGTCACCCCCAGCATCCCCTGGCCACCTCTCCCAGAGAGCCCCCCTGCTGGAAGCTTCCACCTACTTGCCAGTCCACTCCCTCCACCCCAGACACCCTCCACCAGACGCCAGCAACTTCACCTCCTGGGCCTCAGTTTTCCCATCTTTAAAATAGCACCGCTATGCCAGGACTGCTAGAGACTTTCAGGGGAGCATGCGGGTGAAGTGCCTGGCAGAGCCTGCAGGCAAAAGCTACCGAGTGCCAGATGTGTACCTGGCCCTGAAACCCCGCCCCATGGGCAGCAGAGCCGAGGACTGGGGACTGGGCACCCACTGGGCAGCACTCACCTCCATCGTGTACGTCTTCCCGGCACCTGTCTGCCCATAGGCGAAGATGCAGACATTGAAGCCATCAATGCAGGAGGTGATCAGGGCCTGCACCTCCTGGAACACCTGAAGAGGGCACGTGGGATGGAGAGTGAGGGGCTGCCAGGGCTGCCGGACCAGGGCCCCCACCAGCTCCGAGTCCAGCCGCCTCCCCCTGACCACTCTCTCCTCCAGCAATAATGCACCACCTGCTGTTGCGGTCAAGCGGCTCTCTGCTGTGGAATTCCTGACTATACGTCATTTACATTAGACATCGACGGGCAATCTGGTTGCCGAAAGACTGAAGGGAAGACAGGACAGTGCTTACCACCCAATGAACACCTGAGGAAGGGGCTGCCCGCACTGGTGCGTAGGAGCCCACCCTGCTTCTCCCGCTCTCAAAGAGGGGGCAGCAAAACGACGTTAGTCCCCCCCCAATCGTTGTCTAGCCAGACCGCCCACCCGTCCACAGAGGACACAGAGGATGGAGCAGAAGTAGAGCCAGGCACAGGGGCAGGAGGGCACAGGCATCATGGGCTCAGCAGGTTGGCCCTGGGCAAAGACGAGAGAAGAGCAGATGCTGAGACCACACACATGGTTCTCACAGGTCCAAGGGCTCAGCGCTGACAGCGGGTGGTGGGGAACTCCTTAGGATCTTCCCTACCCTTCCCGCGGGGTGGGAGGAGCCGCGAGGGGTGGGAGGAGCCGCGAGGGTGGGCATCATTACGGATGGTTCTCTCCTTTCTAAAAGAAGTTTCTAAAGTCGATCTTAGTTTCCCACCAGGATTACCCACTAAGCAAAGTAGTACGGGCCCAATTGTGCCTTCCCACCAATCTGCAGTGCACAATCTCACCTGTCCGCCACCACGTCAAAGATGTGGTGAAACCCATGTGAAATTGCTCACCACAGATTATCAGGCAAATACAACTAAGCCCATACATACCTTGCTCAATGCAAGCCAGTACATTTTTACTGGTTAATCTGCCCGTTTCCCACCTTCTCTCCTCTAGAGGGAAGAAGGAGGGAACTTGGCTTCATGCTTCTCACTTCTCAATCCCGTCTCCCCCACTCTTGTGCTTTGTCATGGATTGAATTGTGTCCCCCAAAAATATGTGTCAACTTGGCTAGGCCATGATTCCCAGTATTGTGTGGTTGTCCTCCATTTTGTTCTATGTGTTGTATATCCTAATCTCTGCCTGTGGTTAATGAGGCAAATTAGGCTATGTTAAAGAGGATTAGGTTGGGATGCAACATCCTTACTCAGATCACAGCCCTGATCCCATGTAAGGGGAGTTTCCTTAGGGTATGGCCTGCAACACCTTTTATGTTACAAGAGATAAAAGGAAAGAGAAGCGAACAGACTACTACCAAGAAAGAAGAGCCAGGAGCAGAGCACATCCTTTGGACCCGGGGTCCCTGCACTGAGAACCTCCTAGACCCAGTGGGAAGACTGATGCCAAGACACATGGAGATTTCCAAGGAACACTGGGCCCACAGATGTTGAAAGGAGACAAGGGCCTTCCCCAGAGCCAACATAGGGAGAAAGCCTTCCCCTAGATCTGGTGCCCTGAATAAAGACTTCTAGCCTCCTAAACTGTGAGAGAATAAATTTATTTGTTAAAGCCATCTGCTTGTGGTATTTCTGCTATAGCAGCACTAGATAACTAAGACACACTTCTTTCTGTCCACCCCTATCTCTCCCTCTCCCTGTGAGTCTGTCTTTTCCTGTCTCCACTGCTCTGTCAGTTTCCCCTGCGGCACCCCCCAGGGCTGCACTCACATCCTGCTGTGAGGCCCTCGGGGAGAAGACCTTGTCCAGCTCGAAGGATACAGGCTTTCCCTTGTGCAGCAGGTGGATGATAGAGTCATCGTCAGGATCAAAGGTCACAGCATTGGTCGCCTCAGGCCCTTCTCCATCCTCTTTGGTGAGTGGCCGGACACGGGCAATCACCCGGATGTTCCCTGGATTGGTTGGGGGAGGAGAGATGTGCTCAGGCTGGGTCAAGACTAGGCTGTCTCCACTCTGGTATCCATTGGTGTCCTGAGCAGACAAGTGGCTCAGGAGCCCTCTGCCTTCTAAGCAAGGCCTCCTAGGGCAAGGTGGCCAATAAAGTCACTCACACTACAGCATGAATTGACTTATCAGTATGTTTTCTTCCTAAGAAGATCAGCTGAGGTGGGAGCTTTACGTCGGGGACAGGGAGGAAAGGTCAATTGTGGGGTTCAGGCACTGCACCCAGTCCGGGTAGGATGCCAAAATGGACACTCTTTATCTCTCTAGACTTCAGTTTCCTCATCTGCGAGTGAGGGGCTTGGGCTCAAATGGGCAATGGGACATATTCTATCATTCTCAAAGGGCACCATGAATGCCAGGCTAGGGCTTGGGAATCAGATGGGCAAACAGGACCAGAGAGCAAGTGGACTGGCAGGCAGGTAACAGGTGCAGGCAACAGGGAGGCCACAGGGGAATTTGGATCTGACTACACCAGCCCCTTGCTTCAAGCCCTTTGGTGGGATCCCAGTGCTCTTGAAATGAAAACGACTCACCATAGCTGACATGACCCCAGCATCCCTCCTCACCCATCCCTTCCCTCCTCACCCATCCACTCCAACACATAGTCTAGGTCTCAGCTCTAGCTTCACCTCCGGGAGGCCCTCTTCCCAGGGTCTCTCGAAGCCCCTCCCCAGCCCTAGTAACAGGGGCAGTGTTAGGGTTCTCTAGGTGATTTAACAATTACTATCTGTTCCCCAGCTGAAGTGAGTGTCCTGAGGGAAGGGATGGCATCTGTGGGATTCACAGCCAAATCCTCAGTGCCTGGAACAGCACCTGGCACAGAGCAGGTGCTCCCTAGACCTTTGTGCAATGAATGGGTGGAGTCTCAAGCTTACAGGCCCTAGGTTGGGACAAGTGTCATTCCAGCCACCCATCACCCAGTGCTTCAATACTCCCACCCTGTGGCCACCCAGAGTCCAGGGGGTGGGGGGCAGCCTGTCATGGGCACTGGGGCAGGGGTTTTGGAGTTGGACAGATCTAAGTCCAAATCCAAGCTGGATCATTTACTAGCGACGTGAGTTTGATGAAGTTCCCTGGTTTTCCTGTGCCTCAGTTTCCTTATCTACAAATAAAAACTAAAAAACCAAACCCACTGCTGTGGAGTCAATTCAGACTCATAGCAACCCCCATAGGGTTTCCAAGGAGCTGCTGGTGGATTCAAACTGCCAACCTTTTGGTTAGCAGCCTGAGCTCTTAACCACTATGCCACCAGAGCTCTTATCTACAAACAGGAGATTATAATGGCACCTCGTTGACAGGGCACAGTTCCAAGGAGTGGGGCTGGGGGCCAGGGGTATGGCGGGATCACTCCTGAGCTAGGCTCAAGGACCCCAGTGCTGGGCATCTCCCCCGCAGCCTGCCTGATAAGCACCTTTCAGCCGCACGAGCTCATTGTGGCACTTCTTGCGCAGCTGCAGCTCCCGGCGATACTTGCGCAGCAGCTCCTGGTTGTTGCTGTTGACCTCCTCGATGGCCTGGCCGATCTGGCGGGGGTGGCACCGCGGTCAGGGGGCAAGCTCCACCAGCCTTGCTTACTTCGCCGCCTGTCCTGCAAGGTGCTGGCTGCCTCCTGCCGGGGGCACTGAGTACTTGACATATGCTGCCACACATCGGGTTTTCCCAATAACCTCTCTGAATAGGTCCTGGTACCATGCCCATCTGGCTGATAAAGAAACTGAGTCCAAGAAGCTAAGCCAATAGCTCAAGCTCACCTTGCTAATAGCGAAGAGCCAGGACTCAACCCTCATTCCATAGCACTTAGCACTTAACTACAACATAATTCTCCTGGGCCCAAATTCCAGCTCTACCCGAGTAGGCGGGGGACCTGCGGCAACTGGCTCAATCTCTTTGAGCCTCAATTTTCTCACCTGTAAAATGGGATAACATCATCTAACTGGTGGATGTGTAGGAGCTGGTCTCCAAGTTAAATTTCATAGAGGGTGAAAAAGAAGCAAGTATGTTCTCTTCTGTTGGGTAAATGAGAACTGTATACACATGAACACCTACATCAATAGGATTAGACACACTCAGAATGCCCCTGCGGGGAGGGACCGGCCACTTTGAGGGGTGGGATTCGGTGGCAAGGGAGGCCTTTCCTTTTCTTCTGATGCCCTTCCGAGTGTTCGAATTTTTCACCATGTCCGGGTATTACTGACATTATTTTTCTAAGGGAGAAAAACTATTTTTCTAATGCCAAAATGTATCAGTCTCTACCCCGAAGAGCTGCTGTTCGAGGAGCCGATGGCTATAAAAGGCTTAGTATGTAGGAGGCATTTAAGAGACTCTCACACTTGTACAGCGTTAAAAATGTAAATCAAGCCTAATATAGATGTGAGACTACACGAGCCACGTTTGAAATGGAAGAATAAGCGCAACATGTTAGGGATATAAAGATGTATGTGACATGCTTGCTTTACCAGTTGCCATCGAGTCGATCCCGACTCATGCGACCCTACAGGACAGAGCAGAACTGCCCCATAGGCCTTCCAAGGCTGTAATCTTTATGGAAGCAGACTGCCACATCTTTCTCTCTCGGAGCAGCAGGTGGGTTCAAACTGCCAACCTTTCGGTTAGCAGCCAAGCGCTTAACCACTGTACCACCAGGGCTCCTTTGTTTGGTTTCAAAAATAGTAGATAAGACAAACACCCATATACTTGCCCCCACCAACTCACTCTACGTTGTTCAAATTTGAAAACCAGGGCATGAAGCAGGGGTGGGGAGTTGTCTGGGGAGCTTTGTCTGGACTTTGGAAGGGTGCCCTGGGTGGATGCTGTGTCTGCCAAGGGCTCCCCAGTCCCACCCACCCTGCGCTCACCTCGGCCTTGACGCTCTTGAGGGCCTCCTGCAGCAGCAGGGGGAAGCCGCGCACCTGCCGCTTGAGACCGTTGTAGTCGTTGGTGAGAGTCCGCAGCGCCGGCTGCAACGTCAGCAGGTTGGTCCGGACGCCTAGGGACATGAGGTGTGTGCGGTGGACGGGGTAGGGGCTGCGACGTGGAGCGGGCCAGGGTCAAGGGGGGCCTGGGTGGGGTGGGGCAGGGCACAGTGGCTGCCAGCTCACCTGCCAGGTTCTCGTGCACGGCCTTCATCTCCACCTGGGCCCTGGCGAAGGCCTCCTCGATGGCCCGGTTCTTGTCCTCCTCCAGGGACTGCATCTCCTCCAGCATCTGCCCATGTGCCCGCTCCAGCTCTGACTCATACATGGCGATCTGGTGGCCAGGGCCAAGGGAAGGCCAGTGCCATGGGCGGGGAGCACTGGGAGAGAGGCCCCAGCCCTCACCCATGCATGAACATGGACACAGCACAGAGGCTGAACGGACATTTCTCCCCACAGGGCTGTCAGCTCCGTGCAGTTACTACTTCCCTGCATCATCCCGGCGCCAGTCTTGCCCCCGGTACATATGGTGCTGAAGCCATGGGCCCCCAGAGAGCAGGGGAGAGCATTTGTGACAATGACAAGAGCAGTAGAAGTACTTATTGAGTGCACCCTGCGTGCCAAGCCCTGTGGGAAGAGCCTCTTGTGGCTTATGTCCCCAAGTCCCCAAGGCACGGGCTTTGTGATCAGACTCATGGTGCAGATAAGGAAACGGAGACTTAGACGAAACCAGCCCCTGACCCCATGGCCAGTAGGAGGAGGAGGGACTGAACCTAGGTCTGCTGATCCCCAAGGACTTAACCGCTGCAGCGTTCTGCAGGCCACCTCTGGCTTTCCGGCCCTGCACGTTGTGTGCCCTCTCACACAGACACGCACACACGCACACAGACACGCACACGCATGCTCACACAGGCAGCCTGAGCACCTGTGCCCGGAGCTGGGCCGTCAGCTGATGTGAGCTCTGTAGCTGCTGCTCCATCTCCTTCAGCACCTGCCTCTGCATGGCCACCTGCTCCTGCAGGTGCTGGTTTCGGGCCTGGGACTCACTGAGGGCCTGCTTGGTCTTAGACGACTCCACCTCCACTGTCTTGATGATGTACTTCACGAAAGGGAGACACAGGGCACAGAGCTGTGTGAACAACTGGACCTTGCCCCAAGGCCTAGAGATGCAACTGGTCAGAGGGGGGACCCTAAAGAACGCCCCGCTAAGGGCCTACAGAAAAAACGAGAGGAGCCTCGAGGTCACAGCCTTCCAGAATACGCAAGGGCCTCCCGGCATCTTGTCACCTTAATGAGCGCTCATTATGAGCCTGGCCCTGGCCCCAGCCTGGGCACAGAAGAGGCAAGAAGGGTAAAGCCAAGGGCAGAATCTGGGGGATGTACTGCACCTGTGCCTGGCACGTAGTGGGCACCTCAAGCATCGGTCGTCGGGTACCCACTGTGTGCCTGGCCCTGGACAGTAAGAAAGGGCAAGACTGAGTGCAGCATCACTCACATTTCTGTCTTCACCAAGACCAGCCCTCCTAGCGGCCATCCCTGCCCTGGTACAGGGCCAAGAGTGCTGAGGCCAGGCTCAGGCTCGCACAGGGTGCTGCACGCTGGCAGCCCGGCCCGCGGCTCACCTTGACGGGTGGCGACTGGGCCCGCAGGCTGGCGATGGTCTCGTGGCTATCACGCAGGCGCCGGCTGAGCCGCTCCTCCTCTTGTGCCTTCTCAGCCAGGCAGTCCTTGAGCCGCAGCTCCACCTCGGCCAGCCGGTCTGTCTTCTGCTGCACCTCCAGGTTCAGCTCGGACAGCATGCCTTTGTTCTCCGCCACCTCCAGCTGCAGCTGAGACAGCTTATCGCGGAGCTGGGCACTCTCCTGCAGGTGTCGGGAGGAGTGCGAGGCAGGCAGACAGACAGACAGGCAGGTAGGGTCACTGTTAGGAACTGGGGGACGGCAAGCCCCCTGGGTGAGGGTGGGGCTGTGCCCAGCTCACTCACCTGCCTGTGCTCGCAGCCTGGGCAGGGCGCCCCCGGCTTCGCCCGCAGTTCCTGCAGCTCCGCCTCGCAGCACCGCATCTCCTGCCTCAGTCGCTCATTCTCCACCATCAGCAGGTCCCGGTGCTTCTCCAAGTCGGTGCCTCCCTGCAGAGAGCCAGAACCAAGAGCGGACATGTGGCAAGGACAGGGCAGGGGGAGAGAGGCCGAGGGAGGCAGAGAGAGGGCAAGGGGGAGAGGAGAGGTAGAAAAGAGAGAGAGACGGAGAGAAAGAAAGAAAAAGGAGAGTGGGAGAAGGAGAAGGAGCTCACGAGAGAAATACAGACAGAGGAGAACGAGCGAGAAGAGCAGTAGAGCAGGAACTGCTCTCTCTCCTGCACCCCCCCATTCTATTTTCCTGAGTGTGAAAGTAACAAGGAAAAGTCATATTTATACACAAGAGTTCACACTCCTATTTTACATCAGCAAACGGGAATTTTAACCCCCTCCCTTTCGAGTCACATGACCTCTGAGGGCACTCTGGGTGATGACAAATATTCTGGGTGTGTTTTTGAGACAAGCCGGCGGTCTCCGTGGCCAGAGAACGAAGCATGGCTTGGTTGGAGGCGAGGGCTCGGGAGAGATGGGGTGGCACCGCATCTGGAAGGGTCTGCCAGCGCCCGCTTCCCACCCAGCCACTGGGGATGGCATTGGTGAGGCTCACCAGCTCTGATCGAAGACGGCTCACTTCCTGGGCCTGGCTAATGAGCTTCTCCTTCAGGCTTTCTACCTGCCAGACAAAGCCAGGGTCACGGTGGGCCTTATTCTCAGTTTCAGCCCACACCCAAGCCTCTCTCTCCATACCTGGAATGCCTAGCATGGCTTCTCGAGGCACCTCTGACCCTGTGACCCTTGCCCTTCCCTGTGTTCACGCATCAGGCCACACCTGGAGACGCCAGGTGAGAGAAACCTGGCCTGGTCCTAACAGCCTTCAGCACCCTCTCCCACTGCAGGACCCAGCCAGACCAGGGCTCTTCAGCAAACTCTGGGGAGCAAATGCCAACAGGGGCTACCCCCACACCATCCTGGGCCACTCCAGGTGCAGCCCAGCGGGAGACTCAGGAAACTGAAGCCTCAGGACCCATCACTTGCACAGGCCCCTTCCAAGGCCCTGTATCTACTGTAGTATTTCTAATTTTGTCTTTTTCTTAAAAAGGATCCCAAAATTGTATAAATTTTAGGCCCTACAAAACCCAGATCTGCCCTTGCCCGGCCCCCAGAATTTTCTACTTTGAGTGGCTTCTGGCAAGACTGTTTTCAGAGACAGGTGTGCCCACCCCAGCTCCCAACCTGCCCCACAAGTAAAGCACAAGTGAGCCAAACCACAGTCTGTGGGCAGTACTCGGCCTTGGAGGCTACATCTCCCTGGGCTGGTGAAGGTGCTCACTGATGGTTAGGGCGGAGTCCCTCAGGAGAGGACAGCTGAGGTCCTAGAGGTCCAAGCAGGCTGCCCAAGGCCTCTTGGTGGGCAAGCAGGTGACCTAAGGGCTGGGCCCAGACAAAACAGGGCCCAAGTAGGTCACCTCTGTCACCAGCAGTGCCAGCACATTCATTCCTAGCAACACGCCAGGCCATGGACCACGGCGGGCAGGAGAGCTTGTGTTACGCTGTCTGCCCACTATCAATGCCCCTTTTTCTGTTTTAAGTGCCAGGTGTTAAGAGAGCTCCATTCTTTCCGCCCTGGTGGGGAGTTAGGGATGGTTTGCATAAGTCAGCCTTTCACTCCTTAGTCACAAAACTGAAAATAATCCAAATATCCAACATGATGGGAATGGCTGGGTAAATTATGATATATACATAAGTATTACATGTTGTTGTTATTAAGTGCTGTCGAGTCGGTTCCAACTCATAGCGACCCTGTAGGACAGAGGAGAACTGCCCCATAGGGTTTCCAAGGAGCGGCTGGTGGATGTGAACTGCTGACCTTTTGGTTAGCAGCCGAGCTCTTAACCACTACACCACCAGGGCTCCAACTATTACACAGCCACTCAAATTATGTTTGTCAGGAGTTTTAAATGGTATGGGGAAAGGCTCACCATTGCATTAAGTAAAAAAAAAAATTCAGAAAACAAATACGTATACAATATGGTAAAGTGGAGGTGTCTGGGTTGTAGAATTATAGTTGACAAATTCTTTATGCCTTTCAGTAATTTTTAAGTCTTCACAAAGGATATGTATTCCTCTTATAATTCCTTCACCCTGAAATAAGTGGATCTATCTCCTTCTGAAAAGGTTGAGGTTCCCCACTCCCACTTCCCTCCCTCCGAAATCCCTAGAAGGTCCACTTGGACTGCACTGGTACCCCAAACAGGCTGCCTCCTCAACTTGCGGCTGAGGTGCTCTGACCTCACTGTGCTAGCACTGCCTCCTACTCGGGCGGTGCGGTGAAAGTGAGGTTTCCAGTGTTTGCTTGGGGCCCAGGGCACCCTCCCACCACCGGCCTGCAGCCCAGACTCCTGATCTCTTCTTGCATCACAATCTCTTCTTGCATCACAATCAGAACCCTGGGTGCTTCTGGGCTCTGGAATCTCCAAGAATGCCCCAGAAGGAAGCTGCAACAACAGGGCAGGCTGGGACAGCAGGGACAGTGGGGGTGGCTTGAGGAAGGGGCTGCCAAGGTGCCAGACAGCCTGGTGGGGCACAAACCACCCCATAGGGCTGTGCCCTGGTGGGTCAGCCTCATTTGGGTCTGGGAAATAAGAAAGTGGGCTTCTCAGGAGTGGGACTCCACCCTGAGGGGTCTGCTTTGGAATGGCTTTGGGGGAAGGTGCCAGTGTTCTCCTGAACTTGAAGGGAGAGGAGGCAAGTTGCTCAGAGTTAGGGAAATGGGCAAGAAGACAGAGACCAATGGAGATACCAGGCGGAGCGTGAAGGCACAGGAGAGACGACAGAGAGCCAGAGCAGTGAGAGCAGTGGGCCCTGCCTGAGCATGAACCTAACCAGACAGTGGAGACCAGCAGCAGGAGACCCGCTCAGGAGACCTAGGCTGTCGCCCCTGGAGCGCCCCCTTCACGGGCTCAGCATGGCTGAGTCAGCGCTGGCTGTTAGCATCTGTAAGCCCATGACGGGAGGGACAGGCTCCATCTCGCTTGTGACCAGCACACAGTAGATCCTCAGTAAACGTGAGGTGATGGCAGAGGGGTAACATGCACGTTCTTGAGCGCAAACAGCCAGGACAAAGGAGAAAGCCCTACGAGGCCACTGGGACGGGACCAGACGGGGTTTCACTACACAGAGAAACGGGGTCTTGGGCCTGGTGCAGGGGGCCTCAGCCCTGCCCCGTTGAGGGGAGCGGGGTCCGGGCCTGTCTCTGGGCGGACACAAGCCCACGTTTCTGTTCTTGGGTAGAAGCAGACTGAGCAGAGGGTGGGGCTGCCCTGCTCAGGTATGTGTTTTCTCAGCTGTCTGCTCCTGAGCTGGGGCTGATGCGCTCTTATCAACGCAGACAATCTGATGATTACGGCCCTCCCGCCTGCCAAGCCTGGCAGACAGGATCTTCTGAGGGAAAGACGGCTCTCCCAGAGGCATGGCCTAAGCTTTGCTGAGCTGGGAAGGTGAGAGGGCCTGGGAGCCAGAGCTGCAAGGAAACACAGCCCAGAGACCAGAAGGGTAACTCCGGGGAACATCCCCTTTGGAACCACCCTCCCTACCTTGCCCTCAGTGCACTCTCCCTCCTCAGCCTGGCTCCTGACTCCATGCCTGCTGAGCAGGCCTCTCTTGCACCTGCCTACCCCACTCCTCCTCTACTGCCAAATCTTCACATTCAAGTCCTTCTGCCACTGAGGGGCAGCAAGAGCTGTTGAGAACATCGATTTTTATGCCAGATTGCCTGAGTTCTAATCCAGACAGCACCTTGCTAGCTGAGAATCTTGGGCAAGTCTCTTAACCTCTCTGTACCTCTCGGTTTCCTCATCTGTACAAAGAGGCTACCTCATCGGTTGTCTTGAGGACTGAGTGAGATTAAATGAGATGATATTTAGGGCCCAGCACATAATAAATTTTATTACTAGGATGAAAGTTCCATGAAAGCAGAGATTTTTGTCTGTTGTGTTCAGCGCTTTACACCCCAGGGGCTGAGAACAGTGCCTGGCACATAGTTGTCATCCTATAAATACCAGTAGAAAGAATGCTGGATGTATGAGGGGCCAGGCAGAGCAGGGTCTCTGGGCGAGGCTGGCAGGAGGGAAGGTGGAGGCTGGGGTATGGTGACAGATGCCCTTTTCTGCCAGAGGTAGGAGCTGCCACTTGGCTCCAGGCAGTGGGTATCATGTGGTATGTCAGCCCAGAGGTGCCACATTTTCCGATCTTATGATCAAAAGTCCAGATTCTTACAGCAACTTACTAAGATTTAAATTTTGTCAACTAATTTGATCATTAAACAGCCTACAGTGCAGGCCATTTAACAAGACACATTTGAAGTAAAAGCCATTCTGCCAGTCTGCAGCCTCTGGAGAAAAGTTATGTTTAACCTTCTGTCTTGAGGTGCAGGGGGCAGTGAGGGTGGAGCAGTCTGGGCAGCATGTAACACTGGGGGAGCTCAGGGACACTGACGCCATGGCTCCAAGGACATCATGAGAGGAGCAGGGAGCCCCAGGCCACTGGAATGAGGCCCAGGCTGTTGTTGCCAATGTAGGGGCAGGTCATTGGACCAGCCACAGGCTCTCTTGCCGCCAGACCAAGACCAGCAGTTTCTGTGCCTTGGTCAGCCAGGTGCCCAAGGACAGCACGCTTTTGGACCAAGGCCTCCCCATAAGAAGCACGGTGGGCTACTAGCAAATACAAATCCCTCCAGCTGACACTTATCAATGGGGAGGCCTAAAAACACTCCCACAGCCCCCACAAAACCAAGTTCAACATGATAACAGCAGCCCCATTTACTGAGCCCTTTGTTTACCAGTGGGGCAGAGTGTGGGGCTTCATATGGTCATCACACTGAATCCCCTAAACCTGTGAGGTAGGTACTATTATTATCCCCATTTTATAGGAGGAAAAATCGAGGTTCCAAGAGGTTATTGAGCCTTGGTTAAGAAACTTGCTGAAGGTCACCTGACCACTAAGTGGTGGACCTAGGATTTGAACGCACAGGTGACCCCTGCAGAACCCTCACTCTTAACCACTAGACTACACTGCCTTTCAAGAAACTCAACCAGGGAAGCAGGCAGAGTCAGAAGGCAGGTCTGGAGAGAGTTGGGAACAAGGCACCCCGGTGGGCTTTTCTTAGAGAAGCAACATTCAGAAGACCAGGAAAGTCAGTCTGTGTAAAACCACAGGGAGGCTGACAGGGGCCCAAAGCACGCAGGAGTGACAGCTCATGACAGCACTTTACAGATTACCATCCATCCTGTCTAGTCTCACAACTGAGCTGTCCAATAACCATGAAGCAATAAATATTAGCCCCAGTTTAGAAAATGGGAAATGAAGGCTCAGAGAGGGAGTGACTTCCTACAGCTGCACAGCCACAACTTAAATCCTGCCCATGGGATTCTAAATCCAAAGCCCTTCCCAATGATGATGGTGGCGGCAGAAACACCAAGAACTCCCTGTATCATCTCATCAGGTACTGCTGTTATGTCCATTTTACAGATGAGGAAACTAAGGTGCAGAGTGGTAATTAACTAGCTCAAGGACACAGAGCGAGTGAGTAGTGCCATAGACATGATTTGAACACACACTGTGGCTCCAAGGCCCACGTGGTTGGCCACGACTCCATAGGGTGGGACCCTCCAGAGA